GAACACCTACTTGCCCATAAATTTGGTCCGAAATCAACATTTCTTGATATTTTTTGAATTTTTTTTCGAAAATGACACTTTTGTATGGAAAATGGTCGAAATAGTTATATTTTAAGGTCAAAAATGCTATGAAAAAAGGGTCCATTGAAATTTTGGTTAACATTAAGCGGGAGGTAAACTAAATCGCTGCGCAGCGGAAAAGTTTGGATTACGTATGTAATTCGTTTTATTTTTAAATGAAATCAAATCTCTTTTACAACAATACGCGTTTAATATTTCATTGTCATCAATCCACATTAATGTAATATGGAAAAACAATGAAAAAATTGTTTTTCGTCAAACTCCAAAAAATTTAATTCGAAAACCAAAACTGCATTTATAAGATTACTCTTGAGCCCGCGCGAAATCAAACAGGAAGTATAGCAATAAATCCATGAATCAAAAAAAGGAGAGATAACTGGCTACAGACACACACACATACACACACACACACACACACACACAGACGAACATTCAGTTTTATATATATAGATTTTTTCCGTTGATGCTGATAAGATAGTTACTTTATTTGATTTATAATGGTGTTGAAAACAGGAAAATTCCCAATAACATTCTTCACCTATAACTTCTTCAAAAAAACTTTATTGGAATTTTTCAAAAAACCATTTGATTTTTGGGTAAATCAACGAGGCCGAGTCGATGCCCCAAATGAAATCGACATGATTGAAGTCTTTTTCGTTTATAATTTGTGTGTAAGCAAGACTATTGCTTAGTTGAGGTATCAACCTCTGTACATCATGCCAAGTGGCTAATTTATCAGCTGGTGAAAAATGGAGTGAAATTGGTGTGGTAATTCTCCAAAGTTCGAAATCACTTGGAACTTCCATGCCTTCCATATATTTTCCAAAGTATCCGTACCGTATTTCCAAACCATAGTGTAAAAATTGATTGATTGATGCACCGCTTGGAGTATGGCAAATGAGAGAAGGTAACATTGTCTATGGTGAAGATTTTTTCATGAGAATTAATCGAATAGTTTAATCAAATGTTAACGTACATTATTCCTTTGGCTATCACTTGGACCAGATATAAGATTTATCATGTTATCACAGAAGTTAGTTAAATCGATATCACAAAATGAGGCCGGCAATCCCATCACTGTTTCTCTTGGGAGAAATTCTATATTCTTGTACAGCTGAAATGGTTTTCAAAAGGTAATTTTGTAAATTCCCAAGTGATCTTCAGCATTTGAGATTGGCATTACTTACTTCCAAAAATGGGCGAGCTAAAGTAAGCGATCGCAGCATCCAATCAGAATTGTTCATGTAACCAACTGGTGCCATTAGGCTTGCAGCGTAAATTTTCGCATTATATTCCGGTTTTTCGGACAATAAAACCATGATACTTGTAGTTCCTTGCGAGTGCCCGACGAAATACAACTTTTCGTTTCCAGTCTCTTTGAGAATGTAGTCAATAACCGCTGGATGATCATAAATGCCCATTTCGTACCACGAAAAGTCCCAAAAGCCACTACTCGGCATGTCTGGATTTTTGATGATATGTTGACGTGAATATATGTTCCCACGAGAATTTTCTAACCAAATATCATACCCGGCATCAGCTAAGATGTACGCTAAAGTAGACGCGGTCAAATGAGCAAAAACAATCTAAGACTATTGCTATAAAAACATATTTTGCTACAAAAAAAAAAACTATTTACGTAATGCCTGTTCAGGAATATTGACACAGTAATCATCGGACGATGACAAAAGACCATGTTGTAAAATGACTGCCTTCTTCCTACTGAATGCAGGTCGTTTTGAATTACAACGAAACACTGTCAACATATAACCATCTTCTGTAATTATTTTGTGTTCTTCAGCTTCATATCCATAATGTTCAATGAGTTCATTCTAAAACGATATTTGTATTTGATTCAGATAAATTCAGATAACCAACTTTACGTCCCAATCTTACCGTTCTCAGGCCGCATAATGTTGGCTTGACAGGATTCTTAATATTCAAAATATTTCCAACAGTTTTTGTAAAATATCGAGCAGAACTGGCAAAAGAATCTCCTAGTATTGAAATTAAATCCGGTTCAGGGTCCGCCAGAACTTCCACGAATGGACCCACTGCCACTATTAACAAAATTACAAGCAATATCTTGGACATTGTGAAGAACTCAAATTTTTCACATGAATTTTAAAAATGGAAAGAAATACGACTTTTTGAAACAAAGTCAACGAAAGAACTAACAACAAACATATCGAAACCATACATATTTTGCATGTCAATATGGTGAATTCTGTCAGTGTTCAATTTAAAAAAAATTCAATTGTAATGGAATGACGCACATTTATTAAAAGTTCGTATATAAGATTTCACCTTAAAACACACGGAAGATGATTGGATAAAAGAAATAGATTTGTAAGGAGGATGTGATTGAAGAAACCGGTATTTGTCACAACAACAAGAAAAAATATACGCAATTCATTATGCTCAAAATCACTTAGTCATAGTTCAGTTGTATTTAAATTCACCAGGTGATTCGATACTTTGAACCAGAGTATAGCATATGCTCAGAGTCTATGTAGACTCGATGCAATAGACTTGTCCACGAAGTGTACGTTCTACTCTGTCTTGAGTTATATCCAATTGGCATGAGTATAGGAAATGAGACTTTTTTCATCTCGATTTTGTTAGTACTGTACTACAAACGTATGGTTTATTTATTCCAAAGTAAATTCAAGCTCTTGGCTTTGTGACTACAAGCTAAGGTGAAAATATTTCATTTTATTACAACATAAATGACAGTTTTTTTTTCTTCAAACATTCGTTTGATGTGCTTCGGATGCTTCACTGTTATTTTCGAAGAAGCCTAGCTTTGATGTTACTTAAAAATTCAAGACAGAGTATTCCCAGTGCAGCTGCGATCCCATACACAAGTACCAGAAATGCTGCATAACAATCGATTATACCGATACTTTCGAAATTATGTGCAAGTGAGCTGCAAGTTGGTCGGGTTGTATATCGTCTAGATTTTTCTACTCCTTGAATTCCATGCTCTCGGATTTTGAATAATCTGAAAAAAATGTTAAATTGAAACAACGCTTAAAATGTTACTTCAATCGATTTGAAAAGTCATTTCACGGCATTTTTCACCGAAAATATTTTCTTCCAGTATACTGACCCTACTTTAAATATTTCTTTGTACGGCGAATGCTTTGGAATAGCTTGCCATGGATCGAGTACTCGTAAATATGTTATTTCAATTAGACCGCACTTTTCATGTTCGTAAAATGTATCTTTGACATGTTTATATCCAGTACCTAGTTCCATATGAAATGCATAAAAACGCTTTCGCATTCGACTAACGCCATAGCTGGCGTTCGCCCAATTTGGTGGTTTATTTGGTGGCGCAATTTTTGTTTCATAAATATCCTTCCGAACTGGTTCAGTTTCGGTTGAGAAAAAGAAACGCGAATAGGGAGTGTCTTCAACAGCAAGCTCCATATCGGAGTTTAGTAAGTCGGATAACGTTTGAATATTATAAGATGTTGATTGCAGAAGAGCGACAATATTCGCTGCATACGATGTGTAAATGAAGATAAGAGAAAGGGAGAACACAAACTTCACGCAAATTTTTTAAAAATTAGAATGTTGATCGTAAAATATGGAAATTTGGCTTAGATTTACCGTTGCAATTTTTCCAGATATTCTCTTCGGAATTAAATTGTTCCCCATTTGACACACGGTGCTGATTGCAAATAACAGAAAATCGGATGACATCAATTTTTGATTATTCCCTTTCGAGAATTCATACGTTGTATAAACCAATGTCGTACAGGCGATGACCAGAAGAATTCCACAGATCCAAACCATGCCGGCAAAGGGTAAATAGTAAATGTTGGATATGTGCGACAGCTGCGGTGCTCTAAACACAAATGCACCTCGACTTGGTAATGTTACAGAAAGGTATTCGATATGTGGAACTCGCTCTGGTGTTATGAATATAACTGTGCCTAAATAATGAAATCGATCAAAAAATGGTTGGTTTGATTTGGTTCAATGTTTTTTTTACCTCCAATATCAATTTCATGTCTCACTAAATGACCCATCATCCCTTTCAGTTTCTTCGGATATCTCATATCACCATAGCCCCAGGTGTCTACATAATTGTACGCTACAGATGAATTCACCGACTCGACCAATATATTCGTTATGGTGTATCCCATTTTTGCCAATGAATCAACGTGCGCATCTCTTTGAACAAACACTTTGTTACATTTCCCAACAGCCAGAAAAATTCGTTGAACTTACTTTATGTCGTCCAAATGGTTGTACGTATCGTTTCTCATTAAAATCAATGTTGACTTCAAAACCTTTCTCCTTAAATCTCGTCGGCGTCTTGATAGTATTCTTGTTTCACGTAAGTCAATGTAGCCATCTCCAATGCTCCAGAATCCAAACGATTCGTGTATAAATGGTGACTCTTTATCAGTTTTGTATACTGAGAATGATGACATTTTTATATTGAACATTAGCCAGAGCTTGGCGGTGTTTAAAAAAAATTAGAAAAATATGTTCTTCAGTGACCTTGTTTCAAATCAAATCGTTCCAGTTCAAAGTTGAAGTTGACCAGGATCACATTGCTATCTGTTAGAAATGGTAAATTCGCCAAGCGATCTTCGTCTGGTTCAAATAAAATCCACCGATATGGATGAGCGAAGTATTCTCCGTCGATTTTATGCAAGAAATCATAAATGCCACTGCAACGCATATCAATGAAGTACCAAAGCTTATTTGTTCTATCATCAACAATGCGAGGAGATATCTTGAAATCACGGCTCA